GTGCTCTGAGTCTGCCATACTATGCGAATTTCCCTGTTATTTAACTGGTTTGAACCAGAACTTCTGTTATTTTTGCCATACTTAACCAAAGCCAGATACGGTCATTAGACTCCATAAAGTGAAATTAAGTGTATTTGAAATAAGTAACATTTAAATTTGATGCTAGATTTTTCCCCTTCTGAATAACTGGCAACTTTATCTTTCATCAATGAGTTAATACATTTATAAATACAAATCTATTTCTGTGCTTTAAATCACAGAAAGTAATTTAAAAGCAGGACCTCATTCTTAATGCTTTCTTGATATACTGTGGGCAGGAAAAACAATTCTCTTTCAAAAAGATTCAGCGTGATTAGTTAGTAGATGTCAGTAAGAAACATACCCCAGTACATTTCTAAATTAGGAAACACTTGAAATTCTCAGACAAGATACACTCCTTCTAAGGAAGTTGATCCACACAATCTTAACTAGTGCCAGTTTGTGAGAGGTTCTATTCTGTTTTATAACTCCAGGTAGGAACAGAAGTGAAATAAATTGCTTCAACTCCTTCATGGTTTTTATATTGTTACTTAAAACAACTGCAACTATGGTAAGGATATTTTAAAAAAAAGAAAAACCCCCAAACAACACCTTAAATCTGCCTTCTAACATCACAGAATTGTTTCTCTCTCTCTTTTTTTTAAATTTGGGTACCGGGGATTGAACTCGGGACCTTGAGTTTGCCAGGCAGGCAGCAGAACCGCTGCACTATATCCCCAGCCCCAGAATTGTTTCTCTCTTGTAGAAACTTCCCTCTTGTTGTTTATGACTGTGAGCAAATAACATTTTTGCCTGTGATTCTCATACACTTTCATGTCAGGCTTTTCTGTGTGAAAGATCATTTTATTGTGACAATCATTTGGTTCTCTTTCAGAAAATGTATGTTGCCCGTGGACGGAGCCTATCTAAATCTTTTAGTCATTTAGGAGGGGACCAATAACAAGCTTTGAGTTTTTCTGTTTCCACTAAACCAAAGAAACTAAGTAGTAATAATAGTATTTATTGTTTTGGTTTTTTTTTACTCAGTTCTAGGCATTGTGCTAAGTGCGTCACAGTGTTTTTCATTTTATTAAATCATTAGTTCATTTAATGGACATTTGAGGATCACATAACATTTTCAGTACAGTAGAATAGAACATTTTCTACTAGCATGTTCATGATGGAAAGAAACAACAGTGTAATTTTGGATTCCAGGGTAAGAACACAAGAGATAAAAGATGAAAAATGTAGAAGTCATGTTTTCCCTGAGTTTTCACTCCCAGTCTGATATATTTTTCAAACTATCTTCCTTGATATTTCAACCAGATAGTGATAACAGGAGCTATTTTAAGACATTTCATGGCTAAACAAGTTGAAGGGTAAACATGGGGATTCAAGCACTAAAGAGGATTTTTTACTGCAGAAGTTCTTGCTGCTTTTAATATGCTGAGTCTATACAAGAAGGGGCCACATTTTGCACTATTTCCCAAACTTGTTTGACCACAACCTCTTCCCAATCTCTGTCTCCATTATCATCACAGGAAGGTCTTATAGTGTTAGGATTCCATGGCATACACACCAGGAAAGGCTTATCCAAGCTACTTTTATTTTTAAAAGATTTTTAATTCCCCCTCCACTTCTAAGCTTTCTAATGTTCTGAGAGATTCAAATTTTTTTTCTCCACAATTACTAACTTTCCACCTTATTTTCCACAATTGCTAACTTTCCACCAAATTTCTGAGACTTCAGGATTTCTAGTTTCAGACCTCATAGGCATTTCTAGTCAAATTGGAATATCTGTGAAAGACATTTAGCTTCTCAAATTCCTTAATTCCTAAAGGATGCAGTGGCTTCCATCTATGATGATTGGGTAGGTTGGGTGGGGCAGGCAGGGGGAGTTAAGAGGGCATAAGGAGGGAGGTTAAAACTAGAATTAGAAAATGTAATTCAGTAAAGAAATAAAAACTTGGCACACCCTTCTGAAAAACTGCCAACTCCTGAGTGAAACCAAAATGTATTCAAATTAAAGTCATGGATTGTATCTATCTTGGGAAGCAAAATGAAAGGGAAAACTTGGAAACTGCCTGCTTAATCTGGTTACATTTCAAAGTCAAGTACAATAATTCTGGTCGGAAGCGATGTGAGAATGCTCTTTGGAAGTTTGGCTATTCATGTTAGTCATTCCTGTTAACCATTTCCATCTCTGGATTTCTTTTGTGTAAAATGTGCAGCTGCATATTGTTGTCAGTTGCTGCATTAAGTCCATTTGGAAAGCAATAGCATAAGTAATTTTTTAAAAAGAAAGTTTTTAATTCTGTATATCTTTCTCTTTTCCAAGTGAATATAATCCACAAGACCTCAGTACTTTCTGGAAATGAGAAAAGAATGATAACATCAAGTACTGTGTATGTGTTTGTGGGGCAGTTAAGGAGCTCTGTAATTCATAACTCCCTTTTCAAAGACAGTGCTTTTTTTTGTTCCAAGTAACAAATATATTTGAATTGATTCCAGATAAAAACTATTGGGGGAAGGAAGAGGTCAGTGACCATTCTTAGAGAAACATCCTGGTACACCCTGAGGAACTAGAGTAACCGACTAATTTCACATCACCCACAGTATTAGAAAAAACAAGGCATTACATAGTTTTAGGTTAAACGTGTGGCTGGTGACCAAATCCAGTCTGTCATATTCCGTGTTTGTTCTTTAGCTCTTCTACTTTGACAATGTAAGCTTTCATGGCACTTTCCTTGGAAGTCCCTTTCAGCTGGTTCCAGACATCCCACTTGGCTTTGCCTTTGAGGTCCAACATCCCAGGCCGCTCTGTATTTATGTCCTCCACCGTGGCTTGTTTGTAGTGGCTGTAAATGAACAACATCTCTTGGTCCGTTGGCTAGGTCTTGAGGTGGTTAACCTCCTCAGCAGCTTTCTCAAACTCAGCCAGAGACATGCCGGCAGGATTACCAGAATTCTGCAGAGTCTGAGTAGGAGGTGAGGAACAGGAAGCGAGCGCGCAGACAGTGCTTTTTGTATCAGCCAGAGTACTAGTAGGAAACCAAGTCTCCCTTTCAAAATGGTTCAGCTGAAGATTTTAAAATTTTATTTTTGATTGATGAATAGTGATTGCACATATTTATGAGATAATATTTTAATTTGATACATTTTTATAATGTGATCAAATCAGAAAAATTAGCATATACATCATATTTATCATTTCTTTGGGACAAAAACATTAATAATCCTCTCTTCACCTGTTTTTCAAATACACAACGTATTATTAAGTGTAGTCACAACTGTGTACTAGAACACCAGAACTTACTACTCCTATCTAACTATCATATCATACTCAGTGACCAGTATTTTTCCTTCCCTTCCCTAGCCTCTGGTAACCACTAGTCTACTCTCAGCTTCTATGAGATCAACTTTTTAAGAATGTACGTATAAGTAAAATTAGGCAGTATTTGTCTTTCTGTGCTGGACTTATTTCCACATTATCTTCTATGTTCACCTATATTATTGCAAATGACAGGATTTCATGATTTTTAGAGGCTGGATAGTATTCCAGTCTGTGTGTGTGTGTGTGTGTGTGTGTGTGTCTCATTTTCTTTATCCATTCATTTTGTTGATAGACACTTGAGTTGATCCCATGTCTGGACTATTTACAGAGTCAGGACCTGGTTAAGGGAGCTAGCAAGGATGCTGAGGTACCAAGGATAATCAGCCATGGGAAGCTGTTACTGCTGGTAGGCCAAAGTGACAAGAGGAGCAAAGATATTACCAGCTGGAGGAGGGACTGGCCTGTAGAAGCTGAACTTGTAGATTCAGGTCACCAAAGTAGGGAGGAAACAGAAGAGAGATTCTCTGCTGTCTTTGTCCATTTGTACTACTATAATGGAATATCACAGATTGGGTAATTTACAATGAACGGAAATTTATTGGCTGTCAGTTTTGGAAGCTGGAAGTTCAATATCAAGGTGTTGCAAGTTTGGTGATTTAATTCCAGGAAGATGACTGAATACTGGCTCCTCACACGGCATGAGGTAGAATGGCAAAAAAGAGACCTCATGGCTTAATTACCTCTTAGAGGCCTACCATATAATGCTATCATATTAAGGATTAAGTTTTAACAAATGAATTTTGGAGGCAACACAAACATTCAAAACACAGCATCTGTTCTCTCTCATCCTCTTTTGGTCCTCAATTCTCCTGCTGGTGTCTCCCACTGGCCAAACCCAGACAGGAGCACAAAGCAAGAGAACCTAGAAGAAAGGCCAGGGATTTAGCTTAGTGGTGCCGTTGCCTGCCTCAAGAGAACCTAGAAGATGCAGAGCCAGGAGGAAAACCTTTTAGGGACAGACACCACTAGGCTTCCTCTGCTACACTTCTAACTTCCTCTAAAACCTTTGAGCAAAACTGTATGTGTCAATTAGGGAAATACTTTACTTTCAGAACAGAGTACAATTCCCTCATTTTTTATATGAGAGAACTAAGATAAAACAAAAGTAATTCATTCAAGTTCACATACACCGTGTGATCACAAGACATAGTAAATGTTTGCATTAAAAATGTATTTGTTAGGCTAAAAGACATACAGCCATTAATTTTCCTCAAAATACTTACCCTCACGTCAAACATACTTCTCCTATCTTTATTGTCACTTTCTGAAGCAGTTCTGGAAGTCCTCTTTCATGAGTGTCTCTGGTTGTACTTTCGTGGCTGCCTCGATTTCCTGAATCCACTCGAAACATTCACTTTTTGTGATCATTTTGATTTTAAGGAAGAGCCAAAAGTCATGTGGAACCAGATCCAGTGAAGAAGGCGGGTGAAGAAACACTGTAATGACTTTACAAGTCTGCCTTTCTGATGGATGGCACTAGGCAGCAGCATTCAGCATATTTTTGTTCACCCTTTGTAAAGACACTCATGAAAAAAAGACTTCCAGAACTGCTTTAGAAAGTGATAGGAATATGCGATAAGTGTGTTTGAAGCCAGGGGAAGTATTTTGGAGAGGATTAATGGCAATGTGTCTTTTACTATAATATATTTTTAAAAATTTGAACACATACTACATTTCTGATCATCTTTTGTATAAGAGCAATTTTAAGATATCAGCTCAATCTTGACTTTTAGTTCATTCCACTCTCCCATTTTGCATCTTCTATATTTCCTCTGAGTCTACTCATTATCTTACTTCTGTCACAGAATTCAGTTTCTCAGATCTCCTGTGTTGACTAGGGAAGGAAAAAGAGAGATGACGCTTTTCTCTCTAAGCAGACTGGATAATTGCATTTGTCTGAATAAGGAAGACATTCTCAGTTCCAGCAAACATGACAAGGTGTGAACTGCACACAAATGACAGGGTGCCTGCTATGGTTTGGGTATGGTCTAATTGTCCCTCCCAAAAAGTTATATGTTAAAGGCTTCTTCCCCAGGGTGATACTATTGGGAAGTGATGTGATTTTTAAGAAGTGGGGCCTAGTGAGGGGCCTTGGGTCACTGGGGGTTTAAGATGGTTCTCATATTACCCTTGGCAGTTCTTGTGAGAGAGTTGGTAGAGATCCTCCTATTCTCTTTGCTCTTGGTTTAAAATACAATATTGCTCACTCCTGCATTTGCTCCCACCATTGTTATTTGTGCTATGAGGTGACACAGCCAAGGGGCAGAACTTATCATTGCACTTTACCATTTAAATTCAAACTTCCCAAACTGTGGGCTATGTAAACTTCTTCTTAACTATCCTGCATGAGTTATTTCATTCTATTGATGCAAAGTTGATTAATATGGGGACTATATTTAAACCCAGTTGGATGGATCTGAAGAACTGGCTCATCATGAGAGGTCACCTTGATCCATCCAAGTACACCCCAGGTGTGCTATTTGGCAGTCTGAGTGGGTGATGAAGGAGGTCAACATGCTGCTTCTTATAGGCCAGGAGGTGGCTTTGGCTGCTTAAGGATTTTAGGGTCTTTAGGTTGCAATCTGACTTTAGGAAAAATTGGGAAATGGTTAAGATTCCTTACTGCCCTTCCCTGGCTTAGCCTGGAGCAACTCTTATTCTTTCTTAAATGTGACCTCCCTGCTTATGTAAGGGTGTCCTTGATTGTGCTCTGTCTATCCCTTACAGCAGTGATGAGGAACCTTTAGAGACGAGTGCCCAAACTGCAACCCAAAACCCACTTATTTATTGTAAAGTGTCAACACTGCAATTAAACCTGAATACTGAGGGTTTAGTTTAGAAAAAACAACTGCTAGCCAGTCCTTTGCTACACAGGCAACCTGGCTCTCATGCCAACAAGAGGGCTCTGTGTGCCCACTGTGGTACACATGCCATAGGTTTGCCACCTCTGCCTTAGAGGTTCCCATTCAGTGAGATTTCAGCAGGGAGTCTGGTAAATGAGGATGCGCCTGAATGCTCGGTGCTGCTACTTAGCATGTAATATGTTACCCTTCCCAGTTCTCTCCCCCTATTCTCAATCCTGGCTGCTCTCTTCACATATATATCTCAATATGACCAACAGACCCTATGAGGGAATATTCTTTTTTTCCTTCTGTACTGGAGATCGAACTCAGGACCTTGCACTTTCGAGGCAGGCACAGAGCAACTGAGCTAAATCCCCAGCCCTAAGAGAGAATATTCACATACCCTAGTCAACCTGTAACCAAAGCAGCAAGGGAGGGTCCATCTGGCACCACCTCTCGGCAGAGAAGCACAGGAAAGTAATTCAGAATCTCTTTTTCTAAAACAGAACGAACCTCTTGTTGGCCTCTCTTGCTGCCTCTGGACAAAACTCTGCCTTTGCCCTCAAAGTTTATCATGTTACCAGAGGTTCACCCACATTTTCAGAGAACCTGTTCTGTCTATGAGTCACTCAGAGGAAGATTTTAATTTCACATTGCCATCCAATATCAGTTGACCTTTTTGTTACTTATAAGGACTAGTTGTCTGCATCAATATTAATCATCATCCTATTTTATGGCTGATAGTTTATGTAGTTGTAGAAACCATCACCAATTCTTTTCGCACTGTAAAGTTTGAAAATCCAGATGGTTTTTATTCTTTGCACTCAATCCCATACCTGCCTTCTGTCCCCACCCTGCTGGGACATTCTTCACTCAGAAATGCTCTCTGAGTGTCAGTGATGACATATCCTAAAGTTAAATTAGCAGGATATGTCATAGACCACTTAGTCTGAAAAGAGTCTCCTACTTCCATGTTTAGGCCAAGAACATGGAGGTATTCAGCTCATGGAGGTACTGAACTCATGTAGACTCTGACTCACAGTGAAGACTTAATAAATGACTGTTGATTCTGAATCTAAATGTGGCTGAGCAGTGATTTGCAATGAAATAGACATGCAAAGATGCTTTAAAACAGCAGAGCACCAAAAGGTCTGCATTAGTCATCAGGGAAATGCAAATTAAAACCACAATGAGATAGCACTACACACCCACCAGAATAGCTAGAATTTAAGACAGATAATTCAAATATTGGCAAAGATGTGGAGCAACTGGAATTCTCATATCCTGTGGGTGGGTGTGTAAAAGGAACAACTACTTTGGAAAATGATTTGGCAGTATCATGTAAAAGAGAGCATGTGCTTATATCCAGCAATTCCACTCCTAGACATATACCACTTAAAAGTGCTTGAACATGTATATGGAGAGGCATGTACAGAATGCTCTCAGAGATATTCTTTGTGATCCCATTCCCCTGACTGGAAACAACCTAAATGTCCACTGCTTACAGAGTCATCAAATAAACCATGACATATTCATTTAAATATCCTGCACCAATGAAAACCAGCAAACTAGAGTTACAACAAGAAACATGAATAGACTCTGCAAACCCAATATGTAAAAAAAAAGCCATGGAATAATCTATTCCTTATGATTCCACTAAATGAAATTTAATAGGCATAAATAGACTAAAACATTGGAAGTCAAAATAAGGTATCTTTTTGAAGAAAGAATGGCGGAGGTAGCGATGGCAAGTGGGTCTGAGGAGGATTCTAGATTGAGTCAATATTGTTTTTCTTGATCTGGTTGCAATGTATGCCTTGTGACACCATTCTGAGCCATTGGTATTTTTGTTTTCTTTACTTTTCTGTATATATGTTCTGCAATAGTTGTCCCCTGCCCCACCCAATCTACTGTTTCAGTTACTTGCAGTCAACAGCATCTGAAAATGAAAGAAAAATTCCAGAAATAAATACATCATTAAGTTTTAAATTGTGAGCCATTCTGAACAGCATGATGAAATCTCATCCTGTACTGCTCCTTCCTGCCCAGGATGTGATTCATACCTTTGCCTGGCATTTCCTCATGGTATGTGCTACCTGCCTATTAGTCACTTAGTAGAGGTCTTAGTTACCCACAGGACTGTTGTAGTATTGCAGTGCTTGTGTCCAGACAACCCTTATTTTATTTAATATTGGCCCTGATGTACAAGCATGATGCTTGCAATTTTATTACGGCATATTGTTGTAATTGTTCTATTTTATTATTGGTTACTGTTGTTAATCTCTTACTGTGTCTAATTTATAAATGAAACTTTATCACAAGTATGTATGTATGTGTAGGAACAAAACATGGTATCTATAGAGTTTGGTTTCAATTTTAGGCCTCTCCTGCTGGTCTTGGAACTTATCTTTCACCAGTAAGTGGGGATACTGTTCTATCATTTTTAAAAGCTACAATTGGCAGGACTGACCCAAGTCCGTACAGCCTGCCTCTCCCAATCCTTTCAATTCATCTGATTTCCTTCAACAATCACCCTGATTCTTCTCAGCCCCAGGTAGTGTCTTCCTGCCCATGGTCTCCAGAGCTTAAGTCCTTCCTAGATACTGTCCTGATCTCAGGTATCTGTATTTGTGCTCTCCACCCTCCCCATTTTCTTTTCTAAAGCCATCAGCTTTCTCAAGGACTGGTCAGTTAATCTTTACTAAGTTTTTGATGGCTGATGTTTCTTCTTCTCTGCTTGGTGATTTTAAATTGGAAAAAAAAAATTCCTCAAGAGTGACTTTAGGACTGGGAATTTAGCTCAGGGACACTGCACCTGCCCTGTAAGCGCAAGGTTCTGAGTTCGATCCACAGTACAAAAAAAGAAAAAAGAAAAAAAAAAGAGTGACTTTAATGTTTAATACCATGGCCCAGCCCGTAGGGAGAGGTCTAGTGGATGACATCCTTGAAATGACACAGGGTAGTTGGCCCTGAACAAGTCTGCATTAAGGCAAACAGAGAAGATAAAGGAATATGTGCTTGGGCTATGCCCACATAATGGTAAGGCAGAGACTGACTTAATGATGGGCTGGGTCACTTCCACGTGACAGTGGAAGAAATGAAAGGGAGGCTTGTTCTTACTGAACATCTGATGATATTGTGCTCTCTTACTGACACTTTCTTTTGGCATTAATATAAGGGTGTGGCGATGATGACTAAGTAAATGAGAACAAAATTGAAAAGGGAAAGTGTTATTCATGTGTTGAACTCCGTTAGCCAGTATAGACCGAGGACAGTGGGCTGGCAGGACGGGTTAAGGGCGTGCTTCCTCTTGTCATTCCTTTCATCCCTCTCCCTGCTGCTGGACCTCATGGTCTCATGTCCACACTTCATCTAGTGCTCGTGCTTTTTGAATTGCTTTGGGAATTGGGTATGACTCAGCAAGGAAAGCGAGAAAGTTTCTGTGTCCTGATTGTTGCCTCTGCTGTCTGGGGCAGGAATCAACACATGGGAAATGATTCTGGAGATATTCAAGGCTTAATACAATGAGTATTAAGCCAAATGAAATTAAAATATGTTGCTCTGATGAATGCAGTGAGTGGTCAAAAGGTGAGACACCACATTTTCCAATGCTTGGCCTATTCACATGGGGATAGACGTGTAAGCCTGAAAAAATGTCATAAATCAAACTGGGACACAGAAAGAAGACTACCATGTTTCATGTGCTCTTTTAACTTGTGATTCTGAAGTTCCTCTCTGGGACGAGCATTTTATTATTGCAGAGGACCCAAAGATGACAAACCACAGTTTAACTTCCTCTGGGGAGTCAATGTTTATTACATTTACCAACACATTTTCTGTTATTTTCTGTTTTCTGGGTCCCCATCAGGCAGAGGAAATTGATATACAAGTTTATGCTTCTATACTGAATACTTTCTAGTGAGGTTTTTTGCTTGTCAGCAATAACAGGAGCTTCTCTGTAGTATTTATGAGAAGTTTGAAAGAATTTTGAATAATGGATTGACTGAAGTGAAAGGAAAGATTTCTCTCTTCATCTTATAAATAACATGCACTTCTTTTCATTTGGTTATGAGGTTAACATTTATCGTAGAACATTTTATAAATTAAAAACATGCAAAGAAGAAAATAAAATTCACCCATGATATAAACATTTGTGAAATTGTGATATACAAATATAGCATATACATGTAGTTTTGTATCCCTCTTTTCTAATGAAAAATCTTTTTCTCATATCACAAAATATTTTTTTAAAGTATGATTTATAAAAGATGCATGATAATTTCCTCTGAACAATAATTTTTTCTAGAAGATATTGTTTAATAAAATGTGGATTTTTTTTTTCATTTCCAATCACTTGAAGGTAGCAGTTAGTTATTGGCTTCTCTACCCCATCTGTATGGCTTATAAATATAGGCCAGGTTGGCTTAGTTATTAAAAGATAAAAGAAAGAAGACTTTTTATATCCTTAAAATACCTGTTGTAAAGTTTTAATTTATATGTCTTTTTAAAAAGATGTGAAAGATGTTTTCTTTTTTCCAGGGATGCTATTCTTGGAAAAACCCACAACCAATTTGAAAGGTCAAATTCTCTTCACAAAATGCATTTGGTCCAGCTTCTTTCACTTGATCCATCTGAGGGGACAAAGAGAAAACAAACTGTTTCTCCTCATATGTACTTATAATGCAGATCACTTTTATGATTTCAAAAATGTGTGGGGATTTTTCCCCATTAGCAAGTCAGCAATCAATTCTGCGGTAAATATCAGCTAGATATCTTATTTCAACCCCGTTTTGAACTTCTACCTGGAAATAATGTCAGATCCTACAAGTTTAGGGCTCAGACACCCTCAAAAAGTCTGGGCCTCCAGAATATCTGAATGACTGGCTACAAATTGAGACTCTTATCATCTTCTCTTTAGGCTTGATTAATCTGCTAAAAGGGCTCACAGAACTCAAGGAAACTCTACATATGTTTACCAGTTTCCTGAAGATACGAAAGAACAGCCAGACGAAGAGCTGTACAGGAAAAGGTCTGCAAGGATCTCCAGCATAGGAGCTTCTGTCCTCATGTAGTTGGCGCACGCTACCCTCCTGAATGTGGGTGAGTCTGGTTCACCTTTCTGCAAGCTTCCTGGGTTCAGCTGTCCAGAAGCTCTCTGAACTCTGCCTTTTTGGTTTTTTAGAAGGGTTTTATTGCACAAGAATGACTGAAGCACGGATAGAGGCGTTGAAATGTAACTGGACGAAAGAGTATGACCTAATGCTAATAGACTGAGTAGGGAAACCAAGCAAAGCTTGTCTGTTCAGATTCTTCTTGGCCTCTCTGTGCAGCATTCCTTTCTCCAGGGTATGGGGCAGGATCCCCTTGTGAAATGGCAGTGTTACAATCTACTTTTGGACAAGGCAGCTCAAAGAATTTCTTTATGAATAGCTCCAAGGCACAAAGGCAGGGGAAGACTAGAGTATATTTCTATGGATCATCATTTGGGAGAAAAAGAAGCAGGTGAAAGGAGGTCAGACAAGGATGATTGTGTGTGTGTGTGTGTGTGTGTGTGTGTGTGTGTG